CACGATGGTTTTTTTATATAGAGAGAACAAAAGGTATTTGTCCTTTTGCGATCGACTTCTTTCACTAGCATAATGCTCTCTAGTTGGTATCCTATAGTTGCAAATGGCATGATTTCACTCTTTTTGATGGCTGAGTAATAGTCCATGGATTAGATGTACCACAGTGTCTTTAACAACTCCTCTTTGGACAATGCCCATCAATTTCTTCTTCTTTTTTTAATTAATTACATTCCATTTTGTGACACAGTTTCATAGGCTCTGGGATTCCCCTATCCCCTCCCCATGCCCTTCCTCCATGGTGGATTCCTCCACCTTGCAATATTACAGTTCAAATTCAGTCAAGATTCTTTCATTGCAAGCATATACCAAGCATGGAGTCCAGCATCTTATTGTCCAAATAAATTCAATGCTTTCTTGGGGAGACCATCTCTGGTCTGAAGGTAGAGCTGGCAGAATATCATCGCGATCAATTAAAAGCCACAACAGAACATCAACAACAATTCACAACATTATGGAGTTAACTGACATGGTATTGAGTAATCAATATGTTAGAAAATGCAAGTTCTTAACCACATCCTGTGACTACTTCATTGACATTTCAATTTTAGTTTGTATACAACCGGCTTCTATACACCTTAAAATGACTATAGGGTACTATTCAGCTGTCTTGTGTCTATTTTCACTTTAGTATTTAGCAGTTTATAGTGTTGAAGCTTAATTTTTACTGAACTTGGCAAATTTTAGGATAATCTAAGCTCGCTTATAACTCTAACAAGGTATATGTCAACAGTTGAAGTGCAAAACAGTTTTAGCAGGGCTGTGTAGGGAAATCCTCAGTGCCTTAATGAGGAATAACTTATCTTTCTGTCCTACCTAGTAAGGTATATGTGAGCCCCGCTGACCGTTTCCTGTCTGGTTCTAAGCTTTCCTTGTTGTTCTCTATCTGTCTACTCTAATTTTTTTTTTTTTTTGCGGGGGGGAAGGTGGTTCTGGAGTGACCCTGATGGTTATTGCAAGAGAGGGTGGGGATTCAAAGTTGGAACTAAGTAAGGACCAGAGAAAGCTCCCCTCCCGAGTCCCAAAGGGACTTTACTGTTGTTCTGTTTCTGAGGTTCGCTCAGGGCTCCCAGCTATTGTTCCGATGACATTAGATTCTGTGAGGAAGGATATGGGCATTTTCCATCCCATGTGGGAGATCTGAGAGGAAGCGGATAACCTCAGAGTTCTTGGCCTCCGAGGGCCGTCCATTTCTCCATGGTCTCCTTGGCCGTTGGGATGTAGTCCTTGGTGCTCGTACTGATAGTCCTTGGTGAGGATCCGGGAGTCTCCAGGGTTGGGATACAAGCCTCCTCCTGTCTGTCTGCTTCACTCTGGGGTCCACCTTGCTCAGTGCATTTGACCTCCTGTTAAGAGGTTGTCAGGATCACTCTTAATTCTCCTTGTATGTCTTTATGGCTTTGCTAATGTCTAGTGCTGATTCGAGTCTGTTATCTATAAGTTACCTGTTCTGTTCTATTCTATTCTATTCTATTCTATTCTATTCTATTCTATTCTATTCTATTCTATTCTATACTATTCTATTTCTAAAGGAGTTTTTGAACTGATGGAGTAGAGCACAAGGAGTTATCCTTTTACTCTTTTACTTATAAATTAAGTATGAGTCGCTTCTTGTACACACACTTAGATTTTTCAGTGAGGCTGGGTTAACAGGCAGCAAGACAAGCCTCAACTTCAAGGACAGCTTGCTTCTTGGACAATTTTTTGAAAACGATTTATTTATTTTTATTGGAAAGGCAGATATACAGAGAGGAGGAGAGACAGAGAGCAAGATCTTCCCTCTGATAACTCACTCCCCAAGTGACCGCAGCAGTTGGAGCTGAGCCAAACTGAAGCCAGGAGCCAGGAGCTCCTGCAGGTATCCCACGTGGGTGCAGGGTCCCAAGGCTTTGGGCCATCCTCGACTGCTTTCCCAGGCCACAAGCAGGGAGCTGGATGGGAAGTGGAGTGCTGGGATTAGAACTGGTGACCATATGGGATCCCGGAGTATTCAAGGTGAGGCCGTTAACCACTATGCTATCACACCGGGCCCGGACAATTTTCATATAAATCAGGATGTGCTGTTAGTTTGGCTCATCCAAGTTCTTCAGAGAGGTGTTTGGGTATCTCCGGAGCATGAGGAACATAAGGTAGATTCTGGCAGAAATTAAACAGATTAATGCAGTGCGTCTCTTTTTAATACACATTGTAGGGTCAGTTCATCTCCATTATGAATTTTATTACATTTATATATGTCATTTTACCTCCCCTTGGAGATTAAACTTGTTTGGATGGCAAATCCATCTTAATAAATCATTTCTGAAGTACAAGTTTAAAGCTTTGAATTGCAGAACAATATCCATCCACTTCGGAGCTTGGTCCCATTAGTGGAGGAACTAAGACATTTATCTTCATCAGTTCTGATTAACTTTGAGACTCATGCATGCTTTATACCAGGGAGGATATTCTGCAGAGCAGACACACTGGCCTCTTGGTGTAGAGAATAATCATGACGCCAGACTTTGTTTTCAACAAGGTAAGGCTTTCCACAATCATTGCAATTAGCAATTACCTCCAACTGTTCCTGATGTTTTAAAATATATTCTTTCTCTTACACTTGCTGACTTCTGTGTTTCTGTGGAGGTTAAGCGTCTGAACAACCACACCGAATGTGCCACCAGCATGGCATAAATACTACCATCTGGAAGGGTAATTGATTACTGGGGAGATAATTGAGCAAGGAAGAAAAGGGAGATGCATAGAACCAGCTAATGAGGTTGGTGGCAGAGGAGGAGGCCTCTTGGAGAGCACTCAAGGGAAATTAGCAGAGCTGCTGGGTTGAGGGAGGACAGATGGATAACAGCCAAGACTGGTAAATCGCAGACAGAGAATCCAGGAACACTCAGATAGCCCAAATAAACCATGCCACGAATTGGAAGGGTTTGGAGAAAGAAAGTGGACAGAAAATGGAGAAAACTCAAATGACTGGCTTCCAAATTTCAGTTGGAACCCTAGCACAGAAACTGAGAAAGTGTTCAACTGTTCTTCAATGATACCTCAGGTTAAGTGTGGGCTCAGTGTCTAATTCTCTTTTCCCTCCTCTCTCTTCTCTCTCCTCCTGTTCTACTGTTCCCTTCGCCTCTCCTCTCTTCTCCTTTCCTCTGTTTTCTGAGTCTTCTGACATACTGATCGGTCTCCATCTTGAAGACATTTGATGTCATCATCTCCTTAAACCATCAATTAAGGGAATTATAGTTATTTGTAATGAAGGAGAAAGGGAAAGGGAATCTGGCTGTTGTCCAGGGAAGAGTACATGGCAGCCACAAAACATTAGGTCTCCAAGAAAGCTGCAGAAGGAATATCCCTCTGAACGCATCTGACGTCACCTTGTGGAGCCTGGATGATTTCTTGCAGCTGAAAACCATTTTTTCCAAGATATTATAAGTCAATAAAAAAATAACATTTTACAAGAACTTTTCCCCTCTCAAGGATCTTTGGTTTTAAAGCAAGATTTTTTTTTTTTTTTTTAGTCTTTATCCCCCTGTTTGGTTCTATTCCAAAGAACACAAAAACAATCTTCTTTGGAATCTCTCCTTCTTGCGGGGGGCTCCTCGCCAGCACATCCTACTTGTAGATCAAACAGAAGGCATCGACAGCTTGGTTGGGAAGCAGAGCAAACACAAGAAGGGTCACGCTGTCCTAACATGAGTGTCTAAGGAGATTGAAGCATCTTAGCTTGTCTACTAGGAATAGTAACAGTGAAGCATGATCTGTTGGAAGCTGGAATAGAAATGCTCTCCTCTCCGGAATGGCAGACTGTGGTCTCCGTGGGAAGCCTCTGGGGAGTCATGGGTCACAGAGCTCCAGCCCCGTCTCTTGGTGTGAAAATCACTCTTCAGTGAGGATGGGAAGGCTCTGTTTGTTCAGGGTAGAGTGGGACATTTCACGGATGCCAAAGAGCTGAAGGTCTTTGACAGTGTAAAAGCTTATAAAGAGACCCAAATGCTTGTTTCCTGTTTTATGGGCCATGTGGCATGTGTTTTAATAGACGCTTAATTCTTGCCATGAGTGCAAACATAATAATGCCTAGTGCTTTGAAGGTCGACAATAAACCTACATGGTTAAGCACAGAAGATAGCAATACCTTTACCTATGAAGAGGCAGAAATGAGAAATATTTATGCAATGACCATTCTTTATAGTAGCTTTGTGATGTCTGCCCCTACCTATAAGTCATCTCAGTTTCTCCTCTTCTAGCTGATGTCCCCTGGCTGCTACTTACCTCTGCCCTTTGCACACTAATGCCTGCAGTAAGTGTAGGCTGACAGATTCCACCAGGCTCTGCGTCACAGTAAGGACCATGCAGTGTCATGAAAACAACCAGACACTTTTCCCACTCTAGCCTGGGGGTAGTTCTCAAGGCAGAAGAATGAGCACTATGGCTGCATTTATCTTGAAGAAATAATCAGGGTATAGAGAATGCCAAATTGAAAAAGACATCAAAGATTGAATATTCATAGAGATACCCTATTTGTAAGTGCAGGATGTTACTACTCTTGGATGAAAGCATTTCAATATTTGCTAATATACTTTTTCTCTTTAATCTTTATAGCTTTTAAATCTTTATATATTTTCTCTTTAAAAGGATTTGTATATTTGGATAATTATTTTGAATACCAAAGTTTTATATATATAAATATATTATAATATGCATATAATATTTATATACATGTGTTGTATATATGGAGAGATGCAGAGACTCTTCCATCTCCTTGGTGACTTTACCTGGCAAGGCATGATTTGAGTTTCCTAATACTCTTTTTAAAAAAATCCTGGCAGTCTAATATGTGCCCCTGCAAAGCCAGTGATGTTTTGGAATGTCCTAAGAATCTGATGGGTTTCGTTCTGTCCTCTGGAAGTATCAGTGCTTTGGTGTGACATTTTCTCGTTGTGTGTGCTTCCCAGGGCATACATGAGTGTTAAGGAACTGAAGGAGACATTGCAGCTCAACAGCACTCACTTCCTCAACGTCTATTTTGCCACATCAGTGCGGGAAGACCTTGCCGGTGCTGCTACCTGGCCTTGGGACAAGGAAGCTGTCAGCCACCTTGGTAAGTGAAACAAAGACCAAATTTGGTAGAAAACCATAACAACAACAAGAAGGAAATCTGAAGGGGATTTGAGAATGTAAGTTTGATTTAAAAAAATGAGTGTAAGAGGGGAAAAAATACTGCTATTTTAATGATTAGATGCTTTGAGGTAAGGATGGCTTTTGAAAAAGACTGTCAAAATATTTCAGTGCAGAGAAGTGGAATTCGATCAAGCAGTGGCAGATATTCAGGTTGAATTTATAATTCAATTTATAATTTATAATTCCCCAAGGGGGGAAGCCGTCAAGAAGATGGATAGACAGATACGCTTGATTTATGCCACTCTGTCAGAAAGCTGGTGGACTCTCACGGTGGGTGGAGCTTGCATTTCCCACCCAAACTTCTTAACACTTGGTATAGCTACTGAGTATTTGTGAAAACTCATCCCTTTTACAATATCTTACTGCTATAAGCAGATCTTACTGGCAAACCAACAAGGGTTAATGAGTTAGTTTCATAAACATAATGACAGAATAATAATTCCATACAAATTTATATAGCTTTTAAAGGAGTCTTGTAATTCTACCAAAAATTATTTTTAAAATGAAGTATCATAATTGGGAGGAATCTTTCATGGTGGCAAAATGATTATGGAGGACAGAAGCAATTTCATAAGTAATTTAAATAATAAATTATAAAGCAGGGAGGAAAAAATGAAGGAACATTACATAATTCTGTAATGTGTCAAATCCAAGGATTGATGAAATCACTGTGCATCGGAAGCTAGGACACAAATTGAACTGACAGAGGAAATATAAGCAGTTGCCCTAATATGCTACGACTTGAGGTCCAGAGAGAACTTCAACACCCAAGCAATTTTCAGCTAACATTCAGAACAACTAAATAGCTTGTGTGGTGGACCAGGGAACAAAGGAGGTCCATGGTAGAATAGCAAAAGGTGAAAAAACACTGTACAAATGAGAAGCAAAGCATAAAAACTCATGAAGTAAATGTGATTGAGGTCTAGAATGGGTACAGATATCAGGCAGTGGAGAAAATAATCAAGTATTCAACTTGCTTTGCTAGCGTGTAGAGTTGTGTTTCATTGTGTTTCATTGGTAGACCGTATCTGCTCTGGTTTTACGGCCCTGCCATCTTTTCACCATGAACTGTATAGATCTTAGTACATGAGAAATCAGACATTTGTAATGCTGATGGTGACCTGAGCCAATCAAGTCAAGAAAGTTGTTACTTCCAAATAAAGACCTTTGATTTCTGGGGATCCCTTTCAAGACAAGAATGTATTCAGATTACTCATCGATTAATTTAAATAGATCATTGGGTTGTTGGGTGGAATGAAGATTTCTGTTGGATCTGTCAAGAGACATAAAAACACAGAATATACTTCATGGCAGCTAGTTTCAATGAAAAAAAGAAAACTCCAAGTTTCCAGAAAGTTTGACAGGGGAGATCCATAGGTCTCACTCACCCTCTTCCAAGATTGACAGGCAAACTGAAGAAGTCTCTATGCTTTCCAGGTGAAATTTGTATGTGAATCATCAAGGCCTTCATGGTAGTGATGTCTAGACTGCAGGATCAAACTTCTAACAGTGAATGTAGATGACTTGAGTTGTTTTCATCAAAAGCAGCCGTAAGAGGGAGTGGGTAACACTGGAAAAAAAGTACATCTAAACTAATGCCTATAACGTTAGCATCCTACGTTGGAGCACTGGTTAGAATCCTAGCTTATTTGCATCCAATTGAGTTCCCTGATAATGTGTCAGAAAGGCAGGGAAGGCAGCTGATGATGTCCCAAATGTTTGGATCACCCAGTTGGGAGCCCTGGGTGTAGTTCTTGCTCTTGACCTCAGCAGGTCCTAGCCCTGGCTGTTGCCACCATCGGAAGAAGGTGGCGCTAAAAGAAAGATCTCTATCTTTCTTTGTATGTGTGCTCTATTCTCCCACTGGTTTTCACATACATACATACAGACAGACAGACATACACATGTACACAGTCTTGCTTACACATAGCCTGAATTCGAGCTTGCATCTCAGGCTTTGTGTTGAGATGTGAGTTTGTCTGCATAGATTTTGCCTAACAAGAGGAAAATAAATATTCTCTGGAGAAAGACAACATCATTAACAGACTGTAAATGTGCGTTGGTAATCAATAAAAACTGATCAGCTGTCCCAGGAGCAAGATCAAGCAATGCAAAATAAAACAAAAGAATTAAACAGTAGATAGAGATTAGAATTTATGATGCTGGGTTAAAGACACTTAAGTCACATAAAATGTAAAAAAAAAAAAACCCACATAATTATTATGAAGATTTGGGAGCTTGAATGCCAATAACTAAAAAGAAAAAAAAAATAAATGAGCTTTTTAGCAGAACAATTTAAAGAGCTAGGAAATTATACAAAATTTAGAGATTTTGAAGTTCAGAGTGAACAGGTGATAGAAGAAGAAGGTAAGTGGCATAGTACACTTTGAAACCTGATTAAAAATGGCTTAAAACAGAGTTTGCATTAAGAGTAAGTAGCATTTTGGCGCAGAGTAATATTCAAGGAGATCATTACTAAAAATCGCACAAAGTGACAAGACATATCAAGCTATAGATTCAAGATGCTTGATTTAACTCAACAGGTAAACTGAAATCATATCTGAAACAATTATGACAAAGATGCTGAAAACAACATCAGCAATAAGATATTTCAAAGTAGCTTAAAGAAGAAAGATAGGTTAGCTTAAAAACAGCACCAATGAAAATGGCATGCCGAGTCTTCAACATAACATACGTAAGTCATTGGACAACAGATGAGCTTTGAAACATACATTTATTTGTTTATTAACATTTATTTTCTTTGAATCGGAAAGTCAGTTTTACAGAGAGAAGGAGAACAAACAAACAATAAAGGCTTTCTTTGTGGGTGCAGGGTCCCAAGGTTTTAGGTCTTCCTCTTCTGCTTTCCCAGGCCACAAGCATCTAGCCAGAAGGGAGGTAGAGCAGCTGGGATTTGAACCGGCACCCAAATGGGCTCCTGAGCATATACAGTGAAGATTTAGCCTCTAGGCTATTGCGTCAGGTCCTTATTTATTAATTTGAAAGGCAAAAGGACATTGATAGCCAGAAAGAATCTACCATAAATTGATGTATCCCCCATTGTCATGTGCAATGTAATTTTACCAAAAGAGTTCTGTGCCAAAATGGAAATTCAAAGGATGAGCTATTACAAAGATTTTGCTTGCTCATATGGTAGGAAATGAATTAAGGTAAAAAAAAAAATAGAAAAAAAAAAAGACTAGATGATGGCCTGGTGTGATGTCTCAACAGCTAAGCCCTCAACTTCCGAGTCCCGGAATCCCATGTGGGCACTGGTTCATGTCTTGGCTGCTTCCTACCCACTTCCTACCCAGCTCCCTGATTTTAGCCTTTGAAAGCAATAGAAGATGGCCCAAGTCCTTGGATACTGCACCTGCATGTGAGATCTGGAAGACATTCCTGGCTCCTGGCTTCAGATCACGTCAGGTCTGGCAGGTGCAGCCTTTTGGAGAGTGGACCAGTGGATAGAAAATCTTTCCTTCTGTCTCCTTTTCTCTGCAAATCTGCCTTTCCAGTAAAAACAAATAAATCTTTTAAAAAAAAAAACTAGATAATACTCAAGTCTTTCAAAATTAAGGAATATATTACCCAAGACTCAAGGAATGAATCATAATGAAAACAGGAAAATATTAAAAAAATATTTTGACATAATGGCATATCACAACTGCTGGTATATACAAGCAAATTATATTCAGAAAAAATATTATGATCCAATTACTCAACTTAGGAAATCTGATTGGAGAGTATATAGAAATCAACGAATGAAGACAGAAATAGGTAATGAAATATGAGAAGAAAAGGACAATGACTAAGTTTTAGTGGAGATTTGGAGGGAGGGATTGATAATCATTTCTTGGCTGAACTTGAGAGCAAATTTATGATAGACAAGAAATATGTTGCCTCTATGAGAAATATAAGAGCTAGCATTTTCATATATATTGTAACAAAAGGCAATCATCATATTTTAATGAATGTTATCACAGCAAGTGGACATCATGGGCAAAAGAAAACAAACCCGAACCTCATAACTGGTACAGAATTTAGTCAACACGAATCAAAGGTTTGAAAGTAAAAAGGAAAACTGTATGAAAAAAAAATGTTTAGAACAAGCCTAGGCAGGGAGTATTCTGATCTGACACTAAAAGCGTGACATATAAGAATTGATACATTGGACTTTATCAAAAATTAAGACTTGAAAATACTAATGTCCTGGTTTTATTTTTATACTCTGTATTAATGTGTTGAAATAATTCACTCAAGTGTCACATGCCAAGTTGAAATAAAAACAAACAAAGTTTAGGGGCCCAGCACGGTGGAGTAGCAGCTAAAGTCCTCGCCTTGAACACACCAGCAAACCTAATGGCACCAGTTCTAATCCTGGCAGCTCTGCTTCCCATCCAGTCCCCTGCTTGTGGCCTGGGAAAGCAGTCAAGGATGGCTCAAAGCCTTGGGATCCTGAACCCATGTGGGAGACCTGAAAGAAGTTCCTGGCTCCTGGCTTCGGACTGGTGCAGCTGCAGCCATTGTGATCACTTAGGGAGTGAATCATTGGATGGAAGATCTCCCTCTTTGCCTCTCCTCCTCTCTGTATAAGTGACTTTGCAATAAAAATAAAATAAATAAATAAAAAGTTTCCAAGAAAAAATGATAATCTTGGAGAAAATACCTGAAAATCAGCTATGTAATAGAACTTTTATTTAGGTTACGTGAAGAAATTTCAAAACCAAGTAATAAGCATTTCAGTTGGAGATGGGCAGACAGAAACAAGACTTTAGCAGAGATGATGTACAGGTGGGAACGGGCGCTTCAGGATGGGGCTTTGGCATGGCAGTCAAGGCGCTATCTGGAGCACTGCCATCCCACAAAGGAGTGCCAAGTTTCAAGTCTGGGTTCACTCCGGAATATAGCGTCCTGCTGGCATGCCTCCTCAGAGGGCATCCAGTGGTCACTCAAGTAGCTGCATCCCAACATCCCATCAGAAAGAGACCCAGCCTGAGTTGCCACGTCCTGCTGTGGGTCTGGCTCAGCCCTGGCCTTTGCAAGCATTTGAAGGGTCAATCTGTGATGGGAGATAACTCTGTCTTTGTTTCTCCCTTTCAAATAAAATAGTAACAATTAAAGGAAAAGAGGCTTATGAAAAGTTGTTCAACTTCATATGCTACTGGAAAAATGTAGAGAAAAATCATGATTAGTTATCATAAATGTAACAGTAAAACTAAACTAAAAAAAGACAATACTAAGTGCTGGTGTGGATGTGGAAAAACTAGATCTCTCCTGTTTGGTTGGTGAAATTTCTATGTGAAATGGCATATAAAGACCTTCAACATTTTTTTTTAAATAAAAATAAAAACCTACCATATGTTCCACAAATTGGAATCCCCAGTTATTGATCTATGTAAAAGCGTTAGGTTGGACATATATAAACCTACTTAGTGATCGCCAAAGGTTAGAGATAAGGTGGAAGATCCAGGGGTAGAAAGTACAGACACACATGTGACATGAAGGAGAGCTGGGGCAGGGAATCCAGTGATGAAGGACCAATGCTGTGATTATGCCCAAATACTTAGATGTGGTCAGGTTGCATAGACTGCTGGTGCTGAGCACACACAGAAGTGCATGTGGAAATGAGCAAAGTCTGACTCAGGCCTGTGGCGTCTATGCATGCATAGCATTCTTTAGATACAACAGATGATCTGTAAGTGCTCGTGATGGAGTGAGTAGATCAATACATAGGGAGAAGCTACAAAAAGGTATTTGCATGTACACTTACATCTTTGTGGAGTAACTGCTCTTCCCCACAGCTTGGATCTTAGTGTACTTTCAGAAGCAAAGACTATCCAACAGCTCTGACTCAATAGGTGACAGCTTGTGCTCCTACTTATTTCTTATTGTTCAAACTTAACTGTGCCTGAACAAAGAAACCATATTGACATGAATCACATAGGGAATGATGGAGACATCTGGCACACCATAATAGAGGAAAACATTTAGGATTTGGCAAACAGCCTTTTCAAGACTTAAGGCAGTATTGCTTGTTTGTGTCAACACGCAAAATCCCTGCGTTTTGATCAATGCGGAAGTCCCCAAAATTGGAAAACTGAGTCCAACTTATGCCACCCAAAACTTTACATCACCACGTGGAAAGACAGCACAGGAAGCTGCATCAGGATCAAAGGACTTGGGACTTTTCTAACTTCCTTGATATGGGATGCTATTGTTCCAAGGTGCAGCGTCCCTACCTTCACCCTACCCAGGTAATTTGAATATGCAGAATGGGCTGAGAGTCTTGGCTCTGTCATGTTGTTTTGTGCGTATCTTATTCCCTTGCCTCTTGCACAGCATTTACTCATGATACAGGTTGAAGGAATAGCTATCAATTAGTCCAAAGGTATTTGAGACAAGAGAGCAGGGCAATTAATTATTGGATGCCAGCAGATGTCACAGTATCATGTTAGAGGATAAAATGAAGCAACCGATGTTCATCAGAAATAATAATTACAGATTGATGGGCTGCTATTCCTTCTATGCTCAGAGATTTTTTTTTTTCCCCCAAACCTTCCATTGCAGGTGGCGTAGTTCTCAATCCAGCGTATTATGGCATGCCTGGCCACACCAACATCATGATTCATGAGGTGGGACATGTCCTGGGACTCTATCACGTGTTCAAGGGAGTTAGTGAACGGGAATCCTGTGACGACCCCTGCAGGGAGACGGTGCCGTCCATGGAAACAGGAGACCTGTGCGCCGACACGGCCCCCACCCCCAAGAGTAAGCTGTGCCAGGATCCAGAGCCCGCCAACGATACGTGTGGCTTCATTCACTTCCCAGGGGCTCCATTCCGCAACTACATGAGCTACACAGGTATTACAATTGTCTTGATTTTTTGTTTTAAATATTGAGACCCACTTGGGTCTTTCCTGGGGTTACGAGGATTTCCATGGAGTCATTTGTGTCAGAGAGTGTGTTTGTTATGTGACATTCCTTGTAGTGTCTGTAAAGTACTTGAGGAAATACTGAGGCATGCAGGTGTCTCTTGACTGGATTTTCTTCTAACTTAGGTTAAAGGAGAAAACTTGTTTCTATTTTGGATGGTAAAAGGAGCAAAGTCAAAGCTGAGATGCCTCCAACTTCTAGAACTTTGTTCTTAGGCATTTACTCTGAAGGAGTAGTCTGGCAGTGATGGGTCAGGGGATGTTCGGGATCAAGGTGGCTCTTCAAACTGTTTTTACACTTGATCTGCAAGGTGGATTGTCTGTCCCAGACCTATTTCTTCCTCCGTGTTTTGGTTTAATTTCCCCTTGAGTGTCTTCACTGAATAATCATTAACCTTGACTGACAGGCCTGCGCAATAAAGCAGGTGTCTGCAATTCCCCAAGTGTTCACAAATAAAAAAAGCCATCTGTTGAAACACTGCCATCTTGTGGTTTGCTGAGTAAGCATGCATCAGTGAGTGTGGGCCAGAGCCCAAGTCTCACCCTAGGCCAGCCCAGCATTAAGAAAACTGTCCTGGCTGATGGAAGTAAAGCTCCTTATGAATGACTATATTGTTATAACAATATGTATACATTGGGGAAATCAGTCAGGGGGTGGGAAGTTGGCAGGGGTAGGTGGGTCGAATCCCAGGCTCTATGGAATTGTACCATTAAATTCAAAGTTCAAAATTAAAATTCAAAATAAAAAGAAAAAAGGAAGAAAGAAAGCTGTTCCTCTTTGGAGACAGCCAAATGTCCCTGCCTTATCTCCCCACTCCCAATGCATAGGCTTTCTGGAAAGGAATGAATTCTTCTTGCCTTTCCCACCTGCACCCCCCCACCCCCCACTGAGAAAGTATATGCCTATTGGATGCAAGGTGTTGGGCTAACTTTTAGACACTCCTCTATGAACTTACGTGATTTCTCCCCATGTGGACAGATCTCGCAGGTTAAACTGTGCTTGTCCTGTGTTCCTTTCTGTGTCTGCACAGATGACGACTGCACCGACAGCTTCACCCCCAACCAGGTGGCCCGAATGCACTGCTATTTGGACCTTGTATATCAGCAATGGAGTCAAAGCCGGAAGCCCTCTCCTATTCCCATCCCACCTGTGGTCGTTGGGCAGACTCACAAGTCCCTCACCGTCCACTGGCTGCCTCCTATCAGTGGAGACGTGTATGACAGGTGAGCTGGTGCATTTTCTCTGTTTCATTCCATGTGAGGAAAGGGAAACGTGTAAATTGAGGCAGATTCTGATGGGAGATCTACGCTTAGGCAGCACTGCCTCGTGCAGTCTGCCCATTCAGCTCAGAAGCCCGGGGCTGTCCTGTGAGACAAAGTTCTCTGCTTAGCAAGGAGCCTGAAAAGGTTGGCCTATCTGATGGGATAAAGAAGTTGGTGAACTAAGAGGGCATTTGTCCAGCCTGGCTCACTGGGCCATTCTCCGTGGCATGTGGGTGGAGCAGAGGCTGGCTACTTGCACGTTGTTCTTGGAGGGTTGGGTGGGGAGAGGCATGTTCTTGGGGGGGTGTCTGGGTGCTCATGCTATCACACTGTGTACATGAGGGTGGGTATCTGACATGTAAGCACACATCTTAGACCTCCTCTGCATGCTTTTGAACCCTATGCAGCCCCCTTTTAGCCTCTGTCGATATTGCGATGGTTTAATCATTTTCCCATTAGTCCCACTCAATTGGCAACTTCTTGGGAAGAGGATACACCTATTTTTTGTATCTTTGCCTCCTGGTCTGCAATAAAAAACACTTAATACAGGCTTGTTGAAAAAAAATCAATGTAATCAGCTGTCATTCTTCTTTTTCATATTAGGCTAAATGGATATCAGGGCAATGTTTGTAAAAAGCAGAAAAAGCCAAGTAAAAGCATGGCATCTGACAGTTGGTAGACAAAAAGGGGAGAAGTATGGTTTAACTGGAAGGACCCAACCCCTTGGAAGGACCCAACCCCTTGTGTGACCTGTGCCAAGGACTCTGTCATATGCTGTGGCAACAGAGTAGCTGGCACCTACCCTGGGGTCCTACTTTACGGGAAGAATTGTTCTATGCATATTTGGCAGCACTTGTCTTGTGCAGTCCATGTAGTATGATAATTCCTGTTAGAAAACTGAGAAATTTGAGGCATGCAGAAACACAGGGGGCCTGCTCCAAGATGCCATCATGGAATACAGATCAATTAGAGTCCATTGACAATCTGAAATGAGGAACACAGAATAGAAGCTTTATTTGAATTTAGTTGTACATAGTCCCTGTTCTCTGTGTCACTCTCATTGTTCAAGTCAGGCCCGGGTTCAGGAACTGGGTGACACTGGTGTAGACGTTGTGTCCCCCAGCTTTGCTGAAAGCCTGGAGAGAGAGGACAGGAGTCAAGTGGGGGACAGAGTCAGCGAATCCTTGTCCAAGTGCTGTCCTGTCTTTGGAGCTCACTGCAAGTGTAACATTGCTTAGTCCTTGCAATGCTGCAGAGTAGTCCCTGCAGTCGTCAGTTCCCAGGCTCAACCAGCTTCGTTTGTGAGTCAACACACGTCTATGCAATGTGTGTAAGAACCATCTTCCTGCGAGTGTGACCCCGTGCAGCTCTGGTTGGACTGGCTGAACAGTAAGTCCTCCATGGGTATGTGCAGCCCAGAGTTTTACATCAGTTTATGTAACACATGTAAACAATTTAATCTTTCAATTCTCTCTCTGGTACAAACGTTACGATAAAACAGACATCACTCCTGGCCTGTTGAGAGTCTGTCGACAGAAAAGGCTGCAGTTTGCTCCCTCTGCTCAGCTAGCTGGGCCACCGTTTTGAGGTCTCTCAACACGTGTGTCTGGGGACTCACGTCAGATAGCCAGCAATTTGTGTCATGCTTGGAGTGATGTTTACTGCACCCCAGTCGGTATTGGGAATCCTTATGTCAGAGAGGAGTCCCAGCTACGCACTCGACAGCAACCCAGGGAGGGCCAAGTGCATCAGGAAAATGTGGTTTGGAGTCGTGTCTACGCTAGAAGTGTGTGCTGACTGGAGTCGGGGATGTTGAATCTAAACTACACCTCGGGGTTGCCAAAGTGCTAGATACTAAATGGTATTTGAGAACTTGTTCCAAAGAATTAAGGAACTTACATCCTTAGGCAATTTTCTTAGGGTTGTTGAGCCCAGTCTTCTTCTTTGGTAAACATGGGGTTATTGCAGTGATTAGAAACATGAAAAGCATACACTGGTGCTATGCTGTGTGTGTGTGTGAAGTGCTTAACAAGTGGGAGCTGCTGTTGAAACTGTGACCCTTATTTAGTGATCTGGCTTTTTAGACCACTCTATTACTCTTCTCCTTTCACTTTTTGGGAGGCTCCAATTTGAAGCCTTTATTTTTTTTTTTCTATTTTTTTCCTAATTTTTACACTTCGAGTCCTAGAAAGATTTAGGCATCAAAAGCAATCCTCGCAAAGTGCTTCCTGCTTGCTTATTTAACTGCTATCCCTCTCTCTGCTTGTTACTCCCAAACAAGTGCCAGGAGCGCTCCTCACAGACTATCAATCCATTCACGGCCATCCCCCCAACAGGCCTTCACAGAGGGCCTGCTGAGCCCAGTCTTTGTGCTGGCTGCTGAGTGTCCAGAGCAAACACAGACTGGTCTGCAGCTACTCAGAAACCAGGGAGAGGACAGAATGGGAGTGGAAATTCTCAGCACCACATGCTGGTATTCCAAGACAGGAGCCAGAAGCTCCATTGGGTGCACAGAGCAGGGAGCGATGTCCCTACAGAGGACACAGGCTAAGGTGCTACTGCAAGGGTTCTGTAAGGTTGGCTCTCGTGTGATGAAGAGAAGTTTGATGAAGAGAAAAGCTTGGGGAGGTGATTTGGCAGTAGAAAGAACGGTATGAGGCACAGCACTCTGCCTAAGACATGATGCATTTGTGAAAGAGTGGTGTGTTTGTGGTGTTGCAAATGCAGAATTCATAAGGCACCCGTAGTGAGTGAAGAGGGAGCTGGACCAGGGAGAAGTTGGGATCACAGCAGAGCACTGAGAACAGTGCAAGGAGCTTCACATCTGGACGGCCCAGGGACTTCATAGCTCCAGTATTGTGTAGGTGATAAAAGTAAGAATTTTCAGTCATAAGAACCCAGTAGGTCTCTTCTGAAAATTTCTCTGGCTAGTAGGGGAAATACAAGGGACGTTTGAATGACGTGTTGAGGGTCAGTGGTCAGTATAGAAGCAGTTTTGTGTTTATGCATCCAGATTGTAATTACTTGATGCTTCCTGTCGTCTCTAGTGCACACTGACCACTTCCATGTGCACAGGCCTCCTTTCCACCCTTGTTAGATATTTCTGCTTTAGGACCTTGAGCTTTTCACATCATGAAGAATCCTGCACAGATGAGGTCTACCTAAGAAAATAAATTCAGAAATAGCTGTGTTCAAAGTTGCCCTCACTAACCACCCCACCCTTCCCAAAGACCTTCCTGATTTTCTGATCTTGCTCTTCTGATGACCTTCCCCCATCCCCAACCTTTCTTTTTCCCAGGATAACAGGCAGTGTGTGTGGCTCCTGCGCTGAAGATGGGACTTTCCGTCAATATGTGCACATGGCTTCCTCCCGACGGGTGTGTGACTCTTCAGGTTATTGGACCCCAGAGGAGGCTGTGGGTAAAGTATCTTGGATTTTGAACTTTTGCCCTAGTAGACACCAAATGGGGAAGTAGGGAAGGTATGAAACAGTGTCACGATGGGAGAAAGGTGATATGTGTGTGTGTGTGTGTGCGTGTGTGTGTGTGTGTGATATGCTTGGTTGGATCCTTCCACTGCCTTGAAAGACTCACTGCCTAGAGCCTCTGTGTGTTGAGTGTTCTGTATGTTCTCAGTGTACAAGCCCACGTCTGTGTTGAGGCCACTTCCAGGGGAGTAAAAGACACATCACCTGGCTCTGGTGGTGTCTTTATGGGGAGATACCTGGAGCCTGTGGTGTCACACGTGTCTGCCGGCCCTGGAACAGCCTTGCCACAAGCTCATCAAAACAGCAACACAGAACACGTTGCAGGGAGCACTCATGCACTGGCTGAGCGAGGCTGGCTGGGAGCAGGGTGAACTAGGTGTTCCACACGGACTGTTCTCATCTACGCTCTTTTATGACTCTATAAATCACTGGTACTCGTTGTGCGTTGGGTATGATTTAAGCTAGGCTCTCAAACAGGAAAGATGTTTTTTGTTATCTCCTTTCCTGTCTCTCCCTCAGCTCTTCAAACAGTCACATACTCACTCCTATATGCATATCAGTACCCCATGAGACAAATTACAGCATGTAGCTTTTCCTGGTTCCGATCCAGAAAAGCTGTTGACATGATGTTTAGCACCTCGTGATGAATGACTTTACTTTGTCCATCATCGCTCTTCACTCAGTCATCACCTTTTAAAACATTTTCCTTATATTTATTAAGATCCTAAAAACGATGCATTGGACCCAGACCTTCTTGAGTTGACTTAAGGCCTTGACCATGAAAAGCAGCGAGATAAACATGGTCTGATTCTATGGCCCCTGCAACAGGTGGATGGAGAGTTAGAGAAGTTGGTCACTGGGTTCCCAGGCACTAGAGTGACAGAATGCCAAGGAGGAATCCGAAGGGAGACAATTTACTCGACTGATTGTACCCAGTTTTTTCTAAATAAGAGTTTTCAAGGAAAAAAGGAGAAGCTAATATAAAATTTACAACATTGGACTCAGAGAATGGCACTTCGTAAGAGGTTCTAACTGTGGCAAACAGATCGTCCTGTGCTGGTAGTGTAACACCTGCTTAACTCCCTGACATAGTGCATTTTAAAAATTTTTAATACTTGGAACATTTCACAGTTTTTTGATGGAGTTGAAATAATTAGAAATTCTGGGTTCTGATTCTGGTGCTGTATCTTAAGGCAAACCAAGCCAACTTTTAAGCATAAAAATATTTTATCAGAGTGCCTGATTTAAAGTCCTGTAGTTCTAACACGGCTCCCTGCTAATGCCTGTGGGATGCGTAAGGTGGGCCAAGCACTTGAGTTCCTGAGATGGGAAACCTGGGTGTGGTTCATGACTCCTCGTTTGGGCCTGCCCCAAACTGACTGCTTTGAGCACATAAGTAGTGAAGCAGTAGAGAGAAAATTCTCTCGTTTTCTTTCCTTCTCTTCCTCTCATTCTTTCTCTATGTCTATCTGTCTTTCTCATGTGAGTGTGTGAATGTGTCTCTCTGTCACTTTTATTTTTAGATAGATAGATAAAACCCTATCTGATGAGCAGTGCTGGTATCGAGTTGGTTTCTAAGGGCCTTTACTTGTACTGGGAGTAAGCATTAGAAAATTCTATTAAGAAATGCTTGCATCCTTTTGCTTTGAAAAGCTAAAAGCAAACAGTATAGTGTAGCAGGTTAAGCCATTGCTGGCATTCCATATAAACACTGGTTCAAGTCCTAGCTGCTCCACTTCTGATCCAATTGTCTGCTAATGTGCCTGGGAAACAGGTGGAAGGGATGCTTGGCTCCAGGAGAGGCTCCAGGATCTGGGCACCTGGCTCTGGCCTGGCCTAGCTCCAGCCATCAATGCCATTTTGGGGAGTGAACCAGCAGAGTGGAAGACTTTCTGTCTCTCTCTGCATGTCAGTACCACACAAGACAAATTACAAGATGCAGCTGTATCTTGTGCAAGTATCATATTTAAAATACACACTATAAAAATAATTGAGGACCCAGCATGGTAGTCTAGTGGCTAAAGTCCTCACCTTGTATGCCACCAGAGTCTGTATGGGTACCATTTCATATCCCCGCTGCTGCACTTCCCTACCAGCTCCCTGCTTGTGGGCTGGGAAAGCAGAAGAGGACAGCCCGAAGCCTTGGAACCCCACACCTGCCTAGGAGACCTGGAGGAGGCTCCTGGCTTCAGATTGGCTCAACTCCTGCCTTTGTGGTCACTTGGGGAGTGAACCGGTGGATGGAAGAAGATCTTTGTCTCTGTCTCTCCTTCTCTCTGTACATTTGACTTTCAAAACAAAAACTGACTCCCCAGTGAAGCAGTCATAAAAACATGGATATACAAATATGATCAAAATAATCTAATTTAAAACAAAAACAAGATATATCTTTAATATGTATGTATGCATTAAATAATATGTTATGAATACTCATTGACCACCAGACACTTTTTATGTGTTATGAGAACTAGAAACTAGAGCTGGGTGTATTCCCTGCTTGACTACATCATGAAGAAAAGTTCTCTAATTTCATAATATAAAATAGCTTCCTGTCTCATCTTGTAATTCTCTATTTCCTTAAATGCCGTCATTTTTCTTCAAGGACATCATCATCATTTGAAACTGTACCTTGCATCCCTTCATCTACATATCATTGCATCCATTTCCCTTGTCTGATATAAAGGGGACGATCTTGGTCTCTCACTTACTCTGCCTCTGAAACTGAGTGCTACGTACCTAACACTAATCTGCTGACACTGAGAACTGCGTCTAAGAGAGATAGCATAGCCCTGATCTGCTGAATGAACTGAGGAGTGACGTCAGAGTATACACAGAAAGCATGGCGGAACACATCGCATCAACACATGGGCACATGTGCATCCCCCCACATGACTGAACATGTCTCCTCCAGAAAGTCTTTATTTTCCAAATTTTGTGGGACTCGATAATTCTACCTTTTCAGATGCAAATGCTCAATTTGGTCTATCTCTTCTATAGAAACAAGTAAGGCATGGATTTGACAGGAGGATCTTCATGAAGCTCATGGAAATGCATATGACAAAAAAAGCTATGCATGAATTTTGATTTTTTTCCACCAAAATGAATTTACCATTTAATTCCATTTTCCATGGAATTTTAGAAGTGCATCAGGAGTATTTGTTTTATAAGAGAGAACATAAAGACTGAAAGAGAGTACATATTCACACAGCTGAGAGTTAATGACACAGTATGAACAGGAGCCTAACTGCATTGATTCCTAATTTAACCCTTTTTTCATCAATTCCTCTCATGCCGCCTTACTTGGAGTATGTGTGCTATTAATATATGTATAATTTTTATAATTTTGTCATTTATGGGCGTGGCATGGTAGCTTGGTGACTAAGTTCCTCCCATTGAATCCCTCCCAGGGATCCCATGTGGGCGTCAGTTTGTGTCCTAGCTACTCTACTTCCCTTCCACCTCCCTGCCTGTGGCCTGGGAAAGCAGTCAAGGACGGCCCAAAGCCTTGGGACCCTGCGCCATGTGGGAGACCCTGAGGAGGCTCCTGGCTCCTGGCTTTGGATCAGATTGGCTCAGTGTCAGCTGTTGCGGCCACTTGGGGAATGGGCCAGCAGACAGAGAGATTCTTTGTTTCCCCTTCTATCTGTGGATCTGACTTTCCAATAAAAATAAATAAATCTTTAAGAAAAAGAAAAAAGATTTTATTTATATAAAGTGAACGAATTTCACAGCACAGATTTTAGAGTGCAGTGATCCGACTTTCCTATCCTCCCTGCTTCCCGTGTTTCTCACTCTCCTTTTTCCATTATTTCTTTTCCTAATGTTACATTTATGCTTGATGATGGAATCTCCATTTGTTTCCCCTCTCAATGATATGTGTGCATATTTCCTGCCTGAAGTTTCCCCCAAGCTGTTGTCTGCATACTCACACCTGAACTGGCAGGGTACTTTCTTCTTTTTTTTCTAAAGATTTATTTATTTTTATTGGAGAGGAGAGACACAGAGGATGATCTTCTGTCCGATGGTTCACTCCCCAAGCAGCTGCAATGGCCAGAGCTGAGCCAATCCAAACCCAGAAGCCAGGAGTTTTATCTGGGTCTCCCACGTGGGTGCAGGGTCCCAAGACTTTGGGCCACCCTTGACTGCTTTCCCAGGCCACAGGCAGGGAGCTGGATGGGAAGCGGGGATGTTGGGATTAGAACCAGTGACCATATGGGATCCTGGGCATGAAAGGCGAGGACTTTAACCACTATGCTATTGTGCTGGGCCTGGCGGGGTACTTTCAAGGTGTGGGTTTAAGAAAAAACTAAAGTCAACAGAAAGGACCACTAAAATCAGATCTTAGGAATGATAGAAGCTTCCTGATATTGCTGTAAGGAGCATAGTGAAGTCTGAGATCAACCCGAGTTCCAGGAGCATCCAGTTGTCATACATTACTAATATACTAAGTCCATGCAACTTCCCTGCCCCAATCTTTATTTTTAATGTTTATGCATTTATTTTCATTACTCACAAAACAGAATGACAGAGTCAAAAGCGAGTGAACAGATGAGAGAGATCATCCTTCTGCTGGCTCATTCCCCAGACATCCGCCAGAGTCAGGACTGAAGCAGTTCCAAATGCAGCAGCCCAGGATTCCAGGTGCCAGAATGTCCTAGGATGCATGCGCAGGATGCTAGATCAGAAACAGACATGCCAGAATGTGGTCTGATGTGTGAATCAGATGTCCCAACCGGCAGCTCCTGCCCCACCGCAGCACCGAGCTCTGCCCTTAGATCTTTAAAGGGAATCACCTCCCTTGTCTGCAGCAGCCTCCTGCTTTCATCTGAGTTCTGGGACAGCCCTGTTCCCAGGTCCCCGATAACAGGCATCATACAAAGGTGTTTGAGTGACAAAGAACATGCTATTTTATACATTCTCACCTCGTTAGTTGGTTGTACTTAAGCGCTGACCTACTAGTCATTTTCTGATCACTGATGGCGGCTTCCCTGTGTCTGCTCACCTTCCCCAGGACCTCCTGATGTGGATCAACCCTGCGAGCCCAGCTTGCAGGCCTGGAGCCCTGAGCTCCATCTGTACCACATGAACATGACGGTGCCCTGTCCTGCAGAAGGCTGCAGCCTGGAGCTGCGCTTCCAACACCCGGTGCACGCGGACACCCTCACCCTGTGGGTGACTTACCTGTCTATGGACTCCTCCCAGGCGCTCTTCGATACAGAAATACTGCTGGAACACCAGGAGTCTGTGCACCTGGGCCCCTTGGACACTTTCTGTGACACTCCACTCACCATCAAGCTGCACGTGGAAGGGAAGGTCTCAGGCGTGAAGGTTTACACATTCGATGAGCGGATGGAGATAGACGCGGCCCTGCTCACTTCTCAGCCCCAAAGCCCTCTGTGCTCTGGCTGCAGGGCTGTGAGGTACCAGATCCTCCGGGAGCCAGCCTTTGCCAGTGGCTTGCCGGCCCTGGTGACACATCCTCGCAGGAAGTTCACCGACACGTGAGTCGGGCAGTGTTGCCTTGCTATACCACGGGACTTCCTGGGGCTTTGCGGCTGAATCTGATTCCTTTCGTTCCCACTTTGGAATGTTCTAATATGCCCTTAGTTGGAGAAACAGAATTTTATTCTAAAACAGCATATCCAAAATAAGGGAAAACATGTTTCAGAAAGGGCCAAGTGGGTGCTCTAATTTCTCATACTGTCATGATCACTGGAGAAAGAATGGAGGTTAGTGTTGGAGGGGTTTTGGTTGGACTGAATGAACTGCTACAAAAAGTTGATCAGAATCAGCCATTCCTATTTTAATAACAGCTGAATTTTTAATTTCCTGCTGTCAACAATCCCGTAATTGAGCAAAGAGGCCAAGGGCAGGAGGGACATGTCACTCTGTTCATTTCACACAGGCCGTCTACTTCATTCTTTCCCTTTTTTCTCATTTCTTTCTCCCCCAGCCCCCATTTCTTCTTCCTTGCTTTTCCAAATCTCCTTTTCTCTTACTTCTCTTTTTTGTTTCTGTGTGTAGTAACTTCTGTTACGTTCTTGGCACGCCGTGAGTCAGTGTTGAATAGGCACACACAAACACAAGGTCATTGTGATAAAGTTCAATGTCTAGAGGCATTTCTCCACGTCATGCTTGTCTCTAACCACTGTTCTGAGGACACACATATGGTCAAACTGATGTTTTATTGGAGATCCAGCATCAATTATCTTTTCGCAGCAATTAGAAACCATCTCACAATGCAGTGGGCTAAGACAAAAGGCCACATTTCTCATGAGTCTTTGGGTGGGTTGGGTGTTCTTGTCTGGACAACCTCATACACATATAACAGTCCTTGGCTCAGGCAGCTGTCAGAGGGCCGCTTTGCTCACACACTCCCCAAACCTGAGCCGGGCCACTTCTCATGGTGAGGCATGCACAGAGCACTCACACTTTTTAAATACTGTTTTATATTGCTTGTGAGCACGCTCCATTAGCCGCAGCACAGCACACAGCGGATTCCAGATCCAAGGGCGTGCAGGGTAGTGAAACTCACCCTGGACTGAGTCACCTTGCCTAGTGTGCCACTGCTGAGGGAGCCGTTGGGCACTTGAGAGTGTGCCAGAGTCATAAAGAAAGGTAGACCTGGGGTTTACATAGCTGCTCCACATCTGTTCTCTTCAACAGACCTAGAGTAGAGAAGAGGTAATATAAAACAAAAAGTTAATGAAGACAGGAGGATAGTTTATTGGATGAATTTAAAAAAAGAAAAACATCACTTTTGAACTTCTCTAATAAGACAGTTAATATGACATTCATTTCCTAATTTGATACATATTTAATAAGAGGGCCAATAAAATCCCATTTTCTAGATGGGAAAATGGAGATTCAGCTTCAGTTGGTTGAACAGCTAGTAAGTGGAAGAATCATAATTTATGTTCAATTTTATAGGATGAGCATTCAGATTGTTAACTTAAGGTGTGTAACCCCATGTCTGAGTGCCTAAGCTTCTGACTCCAGTCTTAGGCCAATGTAGACCTCTGGAGGAAGCAGTGATAGCTCTAGTGATTGTGTCCCTGTAACCCTCATGGAAGACATGGATCACCCCGCAGGCTCCTGACTTTGGCCAGCTCAGTCCTGGTCATTGCAGGCACCAAGGGTGTTTAACAGTAGATGAGAGCTCCCTATCTCTCTCCCGCTCCCCCCAGCACTTCTCTCTGTCTTTCCCTCCCTTTCTCCTTCCCTCTCTACTTCCCTGCTTCCCTCGCTTCTCCCACTTCTTCCACACACATATATGTACACATACATACATATCTTTGTATCTCGAATACATTTTTAAAAATATGGTAATATCCAGATTTCCTACTTGGTATCATTTCTAGCCTCTGTCCTCAGTGACTCACTGCCTTTCACAGGTCATTGATGATGTAGCTACCTGCTGCTGAGCATTGCCCTGCGAGCAGTCAGCAAATCCTGACCTTGCCTCCAACCCCTTCCCTGGCCACAGAGTAGTGTGAGCCCTGGTGGCTGGACAGGAAGTGAGACAGAGACCGCCAGCACTGGTTAGGATAGAGCTGTTTTTGCTTTAGCCATACCTGTCATTCTCATCCAAGAATTGCTTCCTTGAAAGGGAAAATTAACTTGGAAACATCAAAGTCTTTCAGTGTACTTCCCATGAAAATTCCCACAAGCCTCTTAAACAAGTTTTGGAAACCCCAAGTCATTTCCTGTTTGTTGGTGGCTGTCTCAGGTGAGGGAGTGAACGCTTTGTGGTCCGACTCAAGAGTCTGCTGCGGAAGCGGGATCTTGGCAAAGGATGGAGAGTGCTAATGCAGCTCTTGCCCTGTAGGTTAACTCCCATTGCGGCTAGACTTCGACAGTATTTTTCCAATCAGGGCAGGCACTGGACAAAACAAGGATGCAGGGAAAATTGTTCTTGAAGCCAGTGGTCCCCCTTCTTGAACCCTTACTCCCTTTTACACATCCTGCTTCTCACAATGTCCACCTGGCCAGTACTCCTGGGTTCTAGAGAGACTGCTCCTACCTCGCTCCTGCATGTCAGCAATGGCAGCTCCATTCCTGGGAAGTAGTTGCATGCTTTTCCAATGCTCAAATTGGTTAAACCATCAGCGAAGTGAAAACAGAAGGTGTTTTCATGCCTTCTGTAACACAGTTGCTCTTATTCTGAAGTATTTAAGTCTCCTCAAGACAAAATTATCCTGAGAAAACTGAGATGCAAAGATTTAAGAGAGACTGCTAGCTCCAACTCTGAAACTCTTTTTCTTTTTTTTTTCTTCTTCTTTCTCTCTGTCTTCTTTCATTACAGATGCCAAAGACTAAATTTCAATAGTTTTGTTTTAGTTCAGAAAAGAAACACACTTGAGATACCATCCTCTTAGATTGTTTTCTGGGATTGTTAAAGGTGATATTAGTTCAACCAATATTTATTGCACATCTGGTATGGGGAATATGGAAATGAATTTGGTTTCCAACATGATGTTGCTGTTTAAGACTATGTGCCATCATCTTTGTGACAGGGACAAGTTCAGCGTCTATATTCTTTAGAGTTGTTACCTTGAACTCCTCCAAAGCATTTGCAAAAGATGCAGGGTGTCTCTGTTGGTGCTGTGGTGACAAGTCTCTTGGTCTTCACAGGGAAGTCATGCCCGGACAAATGTATCGCTACCAAGTCCAAGCTGTAGCTGGAGCAGAAATTGGAGAAGCTTCGCCTCCCCTGAGTCACATCCATGGAGCTTCTTATTGCGGAGATGGGAAGGTGGAGAAGTGAGTACTGGAAGTTTGAGGGATTCACAAGCAAGGGCTCTCCGTCCTGGTCTTCACATACTGTGTTCCAGCATGAGGCTAGAAGAGCAAGTGCTAGATTCATCTTTGATTTTCCGTCATATTACAGTGACCTAGTTTAGATTCCCCAGACCAGGGATCTAACCTCCCATTTGAGGTTGGTTTCTTTTGGAAGTGTTGAGAATAAAGCAATACATGACTCTAGTGTTGAAACTTGCAGTTTGCAAGTGCACTTATGCAGTCATGGATGTTTCCACACAGTTATGGAAAGACAGATTTTGTTTAGAATTCATCTCAGAGTGTTGAAGTCCTGGAGCTGGTTTTCTGGGGGTCCTCTTTACTCTTCTGAACAGTTCACGTAAGTATCACTAAGCAGACATGGAATCACTCCTCTGGTTTCTTACATTCCATGTTCCTTCTCCTGAATCCACTCTAGTTTGCCTATAATATTCCCAATATTAGAACTGGAAAAAAAATCTCAAGGCAGGAAAATCTGTCACACTATGTCAACTTACCACTAGTATGCCTGCAACTGAATGTATTATATGCATAAAGCTGCTAGAGCAAGAGGCTAGAAGACCAAGCACTAAGATTTGCCTGAGATTCATATCTTATTGAAATGGGTTATTTTAAGTTTCCCAGATCAAATGAACGTATATTGTATTTTGAAATCCCAATGGAATCAACTGTGCAGCCTTTCTTGGGATTTCATGTCATCATTTAGTGCAAATCTCTTTCTTTTCATATAAGTGTGAAAAGCAGGGGCCCAGCCTTGTGAGTGCAAATTGCCATCTGTGATCTGGCATCCCATATAAGCATTGGCTGGAGTCCAGCTGCTCTTCTTCCAATTCAACTCCCTGTTCTTGAGTTTGGGAAAGCAGCAGAAGGTGAATCTACTCTGCCACACAAGTGGAAGATCTTACTGGAGTTCCAGGCTCCTGGTTGTGTCCTAACTTTTCTAGGCTTTGTGGCTATTTTGAAACATTAGATAGAAGTTCTTTCTACCTCTGGGTCTTGGTCTGTAACATTGCCTTTCAAATAAAACAAAATAGTATGAACAGTAGCTATTCCTGTCTGGTATATGGACACAAACCTTGCTAGTTTGTGGCCATCTCCTGCCTCTTTAAGCATCCCACTCAGCTTCCTCCATTCCATCTCAAAACAAAATTTCTCCCTAAGGTGGATCACAAATTCACAGAATGAGTCAAATTGTCACTACTGCTTCTTTGCTGGTTCTGGATGCTTCATTTTAAGTCTGCAGCCTACCAGTTCAGGTTTTTGGGGACTGGTGTACCTCCTTGATTCTGGCAGAGCTGTCATTCAACATACTCCTCTTTCCTGTATCCCAGAATCTTCTAAGATGATTCCCTGATGGTTGCCATCCTGAATCCCAGAATGCCACACCTGTTGATGTACAAAGAACACTCTTGTTAAATAGCGTTTCATTGGACACATCCCTCCTCCCAGTATCCCAGAGTCTCCTAAGATGATTCTCTGATGGTGGCCATCCTAAACGTCAGGGTGCCACACCTGGGTAACAGAGAAAGGACACTCTTGTTAAATGGGTTTTGCACAGTTGCTCCTGTGCTCTGGTAAATTTCCTTATCAAGACATCCTGTGTTTTCTCTCAGGGTAGAGAACTTAGCACTGCTGTTCAGCCAGGGCTATTTCTGAATCAAAGTTCTGCTTCAGTTGTGGGCATCCAATAATATAGAGAGCTAAGAGACACAAATTAGTTCATTCTCTTGGGTGTCATTTATCACTAAGAGCATTGAAACAGACATAACAGATGGTGCTGAAATTATGGGCAGTTATCATCTGCTCAGTGGCACCTTGGCCATCTAACCTGGGATCCAACAGACACTTGTGGTTCCCAAGGCTTTGAAATGCAGCATATCCAACTACAAAACTGAAGGTTTAATTCCATTTCTTTTATACCACCTAGTTTAAAAGCTAAAATAGATATAGTTATGGTATTGGAATACCCTTGAGAACATTTTGAGCAACTTTGATAGCTTTGAGCTTTTTCTTTAATTATATATATTTTTATTGACTTGCGAGTCACAGAGAGGAACTCCTCCATCTGCTAGCTCAGTCCACACACTTCCACAAGAGCCAAGTGAGAGTCAGGAACTGGATGCAGCACTCCTATGTGGGTGGTGGAAACCCAGCTGCCTCCCGGGATGTGCACCAGCAGGAAGCTGGAATCAGACGTGGGTCATGGGCTCAGCTTCAGGCACTGTGGCATGGTTTGTGAGTGGCACGAGTGGGGTCTTAACTTCCAAGCCAGATGCCCATCCAGCAATCATCTGGGCAGTTGAGCATAAATGCAGAATAAAGATATGTTGAAAGAAAAAATACGCACTAGATTTCATTCATCTGAAAAGTGAGAATGTAACATGCCTCATTAATAACTTTATACTGATTCCAAGTTGGAATGGTACTTTGAATATTTTCACTGAAATGTATTATTAAATTAATATCCTGTATTTCTTTATAATGACTAACAGAATAATAGAAATCATATATGTGATTCTTTCCATTTCTGTTGGTTATCTCTGCATATGGTTGTATTTAAAGTATTCAGATTATCTTTAGAGTGAAGATACAAAGTTGCCAGATTGAAAGATCAGATCCTGAACCTGATGTTGGAAAACTACTGATGTGTTAGCTCTCTCTTCAAAGATGATGAAATCAAGGCAGAAACACTTTACGGGCTGCCTGGATATCACACATCAGATAAGGCACCCTGTGGCCTTCATGTAGAGAAAGAACTGAAAGCATCTTTATTTCCTGCAATTTCACTGTTTTAAATACCTCTTTAATCTTTTCTTCACTTCATATTTAACATATTTAACATATGGTTATTATATCATTGCAGTTACTACATTATTTTAATTCATTTTAAAGCATTCTGATAATTGATGATTTAATCCATTCCTTTGAGGGATAGTTTAAACAATGATTAGAGACATTAGTAAAGTCCTGTGTTGGAGAACACACAAGTGTTATGAAACTGTCTGTTGAATGAAAATGCATATTCTTCCTGTACATGTTGAATAAACAAAGCAAACCGGTTTTTGCAAGGCCTTATTCTTGGTTCTACTAGAGGGACTTCAACCAGTTTTCTGCTTTGTTTTCACATAATCCTTTGTGCCCTCATCGCTATAATCAACCCCGATTTAGTTGTCAGGTATATAAGCATTTGAAGTTCAGAGCATCACATTTCTGCTGTTTCTCCCCTACAATATACACCATCAAGACATTAGGAGCAGCAGGGAGGAGTACAAAGATTGAGCCCTACACAGACTGACCCAGTGAAGGACCTACAAGGCCTGCTGAATTTCTTGGTGTACAAACAGGAGGCTCAAAAAAAAAGCAGCATCATAGCCTGCATCTACACAGGAAAAAAAAAAAAACAATGGAAACAGAAATAGCACATAATGCTGAAGAGAATGCAAAAACACACATGCAAAATTTCTCTTACAGCCGATTGGTTATCTCTATGTTCAAACTTTTATATTTCAATTTTATTTGAAAGGAGAGGAGATACAGAAAGAGAGAGAGACAGAAGACAGACAGAAGACAGACAGAGAGAGAGAGAGAGAGAGAGAGAGAGAGAGAGAGAGAGAGAGAGAACGTGAGTGCCAGGTCAAAGCCAGGAGCTTGAATCTCAATGAAAACCTCTCACCAAGGGTGGCAGAGATTGAAGTATTTACCCCATCATCTGCTGCCTCACAGGATGGACATTAGCAAGTGATTGGAAAAGGAAGCTATGAGACTTAAACTAGGCACACTGATGTTGGATATAAGCATCCCAAGTGGCAGCTTTGTTGCTGTGACAAACATCCAGTCCTAACTCGCGCTTTGAAGACCCTACTCCTTCTCGGTCATAAGTTCTTGTAAGAGCCACACTGTGGAGGCTGCTTCATGTCTCCTGAATGCTTCTGAGCCATGAGCTACTTGACTTCTGGAAATTGTCACTGCCCCTGGCACATGCCAATCGACAGTCAAAACTGAAATGGTTTCCATTTTTAACATCTATGGACTTGATTTCGTTTCTTTTCTGTAAAAGCGTTCTGTTAACTCCTACCCTTTAACATTGTGTACATCTTTTCTAAATCATGATGTATATTAAAAACTTACAAGTGATGGTAGTTTGGACATGAAACCTCATTTAAATGAAGTATGTATGGATATGTACAATTTTGTACCTGCTAGGAGCCTGGGAGAAGAGTGTGATGATGGAGACCTCCTGAGCGGTGATGGGTGCTCAAGGGCCTGTGAACTAGAGGAAGGATTCCACTGTGTGGGTGAGTTCAGGCACTCTTGCCTGCAGTTCTGTTTTATCTTTTGCACAGGTCTCAGAACATTATTTTGTAAATTCTTAATATCTTGTCATGAGTCATTTATAGATGAGAGTAGTCATCACATAGCATTTGATGTATTCAACATACTTCTTTTTCATATATGTCATCTCACTTCTTTTCGCATATGTTATCTCACTTTATCCCTATAGTAACTATGAGAAAAGAAAACAGAGGCACAGATAAAAGTGTTAGTCAGGATTTGAACCCAAGGAGTGTAACGCCAGAACCTGTATGTTAAGCCCTTGGGTAATAATGCTTCTTGATTTACAATTAGTAAAGATTTCTCCTGGATCCTCACATGTAACACCAAAACATCAGGTAAGCAGCACATGCAGGCTCTAGTACACAGCAAGGAAACATGTAAGGCAGTGGGGATGCAGGGTCCTTTTGGGTGGCAGTGTTTCATAGATGAGATCATGGAGGACACCTGAGAGCCATACCGTGAAGAATCACTGGGGGTAAACAATAACGAGGTGTCTTTGACTCTAGAATCTTGCCGTCAAGGGAGGCAGTCCACAGAACTTCCCTCCACTCTGACTCGTGTGGTCATCCACAGGCTTCATTAACGCAGACTGAATTCCGGTCCCATCTGCATATATCACAATGACTCTATGATACATAAACACACATCAACATTATTTTAAAGAACAGTGCATGTGAAAATATTTTATGTCTCCCAATCTTCAGATAACAAAGGGTGATAGTCATAAGTACATAAAACACAAGAGAATGTTAAGGTACTGCAAAGAGCATGTGAATGCCCCTGCCTTCTAGAGCTAGAGCAGAATCATAGAATCATAGAATCTTGGTAACTGCCTGCATCCACCCATCCGTCCATCCATCCTTTCATCCATCCATGCACTTATTCAATTGACAAATGTCCATTGTCTATGTTGTATTCAGGGTCAGCACATATTCAGTTGCAAGTGTGGTACAGGTCTTGTTCCTTCATGCATATGGTTTAGAGTGAGTCAGAGCCCAGTTTCACTCTCTTATGAAACCCTGTCTAGAAATCCCCGAGATGTGCAGTTCCAACAGTGCAAAAATATATCGAGATTGGCAATTTCACTTAGAAATGGCCCGATTGTTATAGAATGTTTTTTCTTTCCCTTTTGTACCCCTGACACATTTTGTTTTTTATGAAACTGGGTGTCAGGATATTTTAGTGACTCTTCTAAAGGTGTACGGCAAGGTGTCTGAAGCGCCAGCCCAGGAACTCAGCTTTCTTCAGCATTCATCAAGTGCATTTTCCTTGCTATGAAACTACAGGAGGATACACATTTTTTCCTTGTTTTATTTGACTACCATTCAGATATTTGAAATGCCTCCCCATTATTCTCTTTTCCAATCCAAACACCCCCTCGTGTGATTAGGTTTCCAGACCCTTTGCTATTCACCCCAACCTGGCATGTTTCCTGTGCTCAATGCCCAGAAAGAATCCAATACTGCAGATGTGGTCTGGCTCTGCAGAAAACACTGAACCGATTAACTCCATCTTCTGTACACAAGCATTTGCTAATGCCACCTCTGTTTTCATCATTTCTTTTTGGTAGCCACATAGTGGTCTCTTTCTGAACATAAATATATATTCTGTAGATGATGTGTCTTCCCCAGTGCAGCTCAAGTCTCACTCAACTTTAATGCAGTCCATGCTTTGTTTCTATTATATTGGATCCCATAAGGTTTAGCTTATACTTTCTTGGTCTCCAACCCCAGTAAGATTATATCTAAATTATTTTAACTATGTGTAAATACTATGTTTAAAACTATATTGAAATTATTTACAGGGTAAAGGCGAAAAAGATACTTTTCACCATGAGATATCTTTTTCAATAAGTAGTAAGTTCAACACAGGCTAAGCATGTAATACTACTATTTCTCAAAATATTAGGATAGAAGGAACTGTTGTGACGTGTATTTTCCGTAGTCTATTATTTTTGTATGCAGCTGAAAAAAAATCACAGTCAACACTTTAGAGTACATGGTAAAAATAAAAGACACACAGGAGCAAAAAGTTGTAGTCATTGGAGAGAGAGAAAATGAAAGCTAAAAGCTATACATACACACACACACACATATATATAACGTGTATATGCACCTAGATAAAATGGTATATATATATGCACATAGGTGTGTGTTCTTAGAAGTAAATTTCAAACAGGTTATAGAAAGTTGGATTAAAAGGTTAGTTTATTTGAAGCCCCAAATTTTGAAATATAGAAATATGAGAGATCTTGCAAAACTTAACGAAAAAAAAATGCATGTTATGAAAAAAAAAAAACCTTGCAAGAATCTCCAAAACATTCTTGGCTCAATATGGATTTATATTTCAATTCTGTTTTCCCAAGCCAGGATGTGTGTGCACATGTGTATGTATTTGTGTGCGTGCATACATGTGTTTTATGCATGCCTGTACAAGTGAGGTGGTGCAAATCATTATTGGAAAGTTATTCCAAATGCATATATTTTGTTTTTAGGCCAATAGTTTTAAACCAAACAGTGGCTTATTAGTTGCTAATAGAGAAATAAATGATAAAGGGTCTTGTATTTAAGGAAATTATTCAGGAAAATAATGTGTAACGGTATGTTGAGGAGCAGCTGATAAATTCCTGAAACACGCTTGCATTATTATTGTGAAAGCAAAACAATAAAATGAATGCTATGGTAAGAATGCTCTTCAACAACGAGTTACAGAATCTGTACATAGATTTTAATTTATTTTACATCTTGCTTTTATTTTCATGCCCTTATCTGTAAGTACAAAATGTAAATTAGAATTATTCTACTAATGTTAATTATCTCAATTTTAATGGGAAGTGCTCAAGATAATACATACATAAGTCACTATAAACTTGGAATCCCTATTGTTCAGTTTCAGAGCAATTACACTATTGAAACACAATTCAACAGCAAAATATGATTGAAAATAAATTTCTCAAACATTTCAGAGACCAGAAGACATTCAAATATAAAATACAGTAAGCCATTTGCTTTCATTCTGTTTTACACTTACCTCCCTCCTATCTCCAACTTTCCCACACACTTCCAATTTCTTACATCCAGAGGCAGCTCTATGGTTCCTGTCCCTTCCACGCCAATGCAGTTCCTTTCCAGATCTGTTTTACCTTTTGTGTGTTGGGGTGTGGCTGGCGATGAGAGGATTCAAGCTTATGGGCTGGAAAAGAAACACTGTGAGCCCTCATTTTCCCATGAGATACAAAAACACTGTTCGAGTGCCATGTCTTGTGTCTTGGCAGGGGAGCCAAGCCTTTGCTACGTGCATGAAGGAGATGGAGTCTGTGAGTCTTTTGAGAAGAAGTCCAGCATCACTGACTGCGGCCTCTATACCCCCAAAGGACATTTGGATCAGTGGGCTGCCCAGGCGCACTCCCCTTATGAAGACACCAAGCAATGTCCCGCTGCCTTGGTAACTGGAGAACCTCATTCCGTGGTAAGTTAAGCCAGATGAACAGCATCTAGGCCAAGCAGAGTTGTCTGGTGACTTGTTAAGTGATCTCCCTGCATCCCTATAGGCAGCTTATGTTTGATTCCAGATTTTGGCTAGATTTTGTGCTCACTGATCTTAGAACAAGAAAACTTCTAAATTACTGATGAAATCCTATCCCACAGACCCTTACTAGTTGTCATCCAGGAATACTTGGCTATGCAAGCACTCCAAGCCATGTACACGACTCTCAACGTGTAAATTAGACTTGGGCTTTTGGTTTGGGAAGAAATATTTTCACAGAAGTAAAAGAAGCATTTAGGGTATTAGGGTCTTAAGACTGAGGTACATTGCTGGTAAAACTATTAATACCCTATTGCTATTATTACTAAATTATATTGAACAGGTCACTTAATCTTTGTGGATTTCAGTTTTCTCATGTGTAGGATGGGCGCAGCAGCTAAACTTTTCTACTTGTCATACAATAAGCAGTATAGTCCTTTCACAGAAATGACGTTTATTTCTCTAGGTATAGGTGAGGCCAGGATAAAGTCTTTGAATTCTAGAAGAAACATCACCAAGGAGATTGGGAAGCCAGCCAAGACTGCTGCAAGGATTCAGGGGTGTTGTCAGGAGCCCTGGTATTTCCCACATTCCTGTTCTGTATTCATTGCCTTGCAACTTTGTTCCCCCTGCTCGCAGCAGGACTGCTGTCCTTGAGACAGGAAGTCAGTATTTCAAGAAGGACGAAGAGAGTAGGCCAGAGGGAAATAGTTATGTGCCAGCTGAGTCTCTCCTTTTTAATTGTGAAAATGCCATCACTTCTGCAAGTTCAGCACCGTAATTGGATTTCTACCCACATGTGTTTGGCAAAACCCAGGACTCTTTATCACCCACAGTTGTCAAGACCCCTGTGGAAATGAATATTTATATGCCTATACTCTCACCTTGAACAAAGCTGTGGAGTTTGTTCCTAGGAAAGCAAGAGGAAATAGACATTATTCAGCAATGAGCTGCTTCTATTACACCTCTCAACAAAGATCAGGCACCTTTTGACAGCCTGGCACTCGATGCTGGGAAGCAGGGGAGGACTCTGACTTAGTGACCGCTCTCTGAAGTGGCTTTTAGTGTAGCCTGTGTCTTCCCTAAAGGAAGCGGGGGAAATTTCCTGGAGTTTTGCTTTTCTGGCTCCTTTGCTTGTGGTCCCCTAAGTCATCAGCTTCTTCACCTTTGAGTCCGGCCTGGGTGTTTTGGTGGAAAACCTGCAGTCCTCCTGGAATGCTTCTGTAGCTAAGCCTTGGATGGATGACCTGAAATGTGCCCGGTCTGTTGGATCATAGAGTACTAAGAGTTGTCCTATGTGACTGTCTCCCCTGCCAAATTGTACCTTGAGATGAACAGAATCTTTGGTGAAGCTCTACATTGTACGCTTCTGCTTGCCAATAGTATGATCATTAGGTGCTCAAAAAGGTTTGAACTGGAAATTTCATTGTCTTTACTCATCTCTCACACTCCCAACTTAATTCTTGGTCAAAATTGCATTTCAGATTTGCACCTCGTACCATCCAGATTCTCCCAAGCAACGTCCCCTCACTGCCTGGTTTCCCTGTGTTACCAATGGAAGCAAATCTCAGAATGAAGGCCGTGAGAAACCAGAAGGTAACCTGGAGAGAGAGGATGAGGTTTGGCTCCAAGTAAGTGACCTGAATAATTGGTTTAAACACTAGACATAGGGTGTTTGAGTGTTTGTGTACGTGTGTGTGTGAGAGAGAGTGCATGTGTGGGGTCTTCAAAAAATGCATGAAAAGCCACACTATGAAAAACAGCTATGCTGTATGAATTCATAATTTCAATTTTGTGCATCAAAATAAATATATTTCCTAATTCTATCTTCATGGACTTTTTTGGAGATTCTTAAATTTGAAGAGGCACATTTAAATGACTAAACAGGAAATTTCCTTTCGTTCTCTCAATTTTTCATTTTGAATTTATTTACACCTCTTCTGAGTTTTTAAACTTTCTCCATGAGCAGCTGGCTTTCAAATTTCAGTCTGAGTCTCTGAGATGTAAACAGCACAGGAATCATAAATGCATATTGTCCCCTTTGGTCATCATGAAGACCAATACTAAGGCATGGATGTTGCTCCACAAGGATCTCATGCATCTTCTAGGTCTGCATACAACAGCGAAGACTTCCACTTACGTGGGCTTCACCCATTCACTCACTCCATGAGAACAGCTGTATGTGTGTGCTTTGGGGCCTGATTGTCTCGTTCTCACCGTTCCGGTTCTGAGATTCACTCCTACCATTTCACTTATTAGTAGTTTTGTTCCTTTTCACTGCAATACGGTATTCCAGGGTTTGAACTCGCCATCTATGTAAACCTTCTAATGTTGCTATTCTCAAGCATGTTTGTAGATATGTTGACAATTTGGGGATATTTCCAGGTTTTCTTTAGTGTGCTTTTGTAAATCATTCTGTCCTAAGCATTTCTCTGCATTTCTTGTGGTGAATCTATCTATTTTATCTATCTATCTATCTATCTATCTATCTATCTATCCATAAAGATGAATGTAATTGGAGCTTTTAGATGGTAACTAGATCAAGTTTGCTAAATAATCCTGAGTAATGGTCAACATTGATTCTTCAAATTTACACACTGCCCAGGCATTTATGAATGTTTAAATTGCTTCAGTTTCACCGACACTTGGCATGTTAACTTAGCCGAAACCACTCTGCTGTTGCATCAAGGTAGCATCCTCTCAAGCTTTGACTTGGATCACGTGTTGACTCATGAGACCTGGAGTCTTTTGGGGTGATTTGTAGCAATTTTAAAGAAAGCATTCACTAGTCTTTGATCAATTTTCTATTGTATTGTGGGTCGTTGTCTTCCCAATTTGTGTGATTTCTTTGTCATTTTCTAGCTATAAATGTTTTTTCGGTCATATGGTCTTTAATATCATCCAGCACTCAGTGTTTAGCTTTCCCTCACTGCTCATGTTACCTTTAGGTGAAAACGTCAGTCAGACTAATGTCCATGTCCAATTTATCTCTTTGCCCCTTCATGCTCAGTGTTTTTCTATATTGTGATAAGAAATACATATATGCTACAAAGATATGCTGTCCCATATCACTTCCTAGAAATGGATTATTTTGCACTTTCTGTTTAATGCTGCAGTTTAGCTGAAATTTTCACACATTGCCTGATCACAGTCAGTAAATCTAGAACTGCTTTTATTGAAAACAAAACAAAACAAACAGCAACAACAAAAAACTCATTGTGCCTCACTATGTCACCTTGGTGTACATCAGCTGACAACATGTATGTGGGCGTTTGTTCATTGGTTTTATATCTGTATATAAGTTTATATATTTTTTCTAACATTAGTGTATAATCTTATTGCTGTACATGTTTAATGTCTTCCAATCTAACCTAATTCTAAGTCTTTGTTCACTTTTGTCCACATTTTTGGCTCTATTTTATATAAATATTGTCAGCATATCACATCTGAGCAAAATGGGTGCAGTTCATGGAATATAAAGTCAAAGTGAGAAGTTTTCTTTTTCCTCAATTTTTCGTATGAATACTTGATAGTTTTCTGGGAAAACAGTAGGGTTTCATTACATGATTGTTTTGTATCTATTGATGTTATCATATTCCTTTCCCTTCTTCTGTTAATATCTTGACATATTAATGAACTTCCAAATCTTTTATCAAGCTTAGATACCTGGAAAGCTGATAATGACATAGGAAGGATGTAGAACACTTAAAAATATTTTGCTAAGCATTGTCTATATTCTTTAGAGATTGCCTGCTTCTCTATTTTATTGTCTTGTGACGTTGTATGGTCAAGGCTAGGTATCACTCTTAAATTTCTTCTGCCTCTTCCTCCTCCCTACCCGTTCTCTGAAGAATTTCGTGAAGGGTTAATATTAATGTTTGACTCTTTCACCAGTGAAGCTATTAAAACTTGGAATTTTCTTTCAGGAAAAAATAAATATGGACTATATATACATTTGAAAATAGTAAAAACAACTCTTTTACTTAGTTCACTGTAATTTGAAACATTAGACACATGAAAAACTCATTGTTTCTTTTATTTGCAAAAGAATTTTACCAAGAGTAGTTGGAACATTCTGTGCTGTTTTCTCATTATGTGATTTACCTGACCAAGCAAGCAGTTTTCCATTGCGTTCGTAAATTTTCATATTGCAGCTTAGGCTGTTTCCAACATTTAGATAACTTCCAGGGTTTTCTCTTTGTACTTTCAGTACTGTGAAAGAGATTTCCTATAACATAACTCCTCTTTGCCCCCTTTGAGTCATTTCCTCTGGGACATCTTCACTTTTTCTACTCTGACAACTCTCCCCATTTGTTAAAGATTTCGGTGTAGCTAGATTTCTTTGATGACGGCTGCCCCAGCATTTTCTGAGTCAGCTGTTTGTTCTAAAAATTTATTTGCTTTTGTTTCAAATTTTACTTTCAGCATTTTCATTTTTAATTCCTTTATGCAAAAGATGGACAATTCCATCTTTTGATGACCCATTTATGTAAAATGGCATGTAGGTTTATCCGTGGAGGAGAGGAGGAGGTATCTATCATTGTCCTTCTGTCTGTAAATCGGGTAGCCAACAACGAGTGGCTAATCCATGACAGACTTTAAAACAAGTAATGCGGTTGATCACCAGAAGTGATGACATTTGTTGTTCGCACGGCAATCTTTAGAGTGAAAATCTATCAGAGAATTTTGTATTTTATACAGTCACAGCTGATTTTGTGCTAGCTGACATTTGAATCATGTTGTTGGGAGACAGACAGCAGTTTGTTGCTGTAGTTAGCGTTTGTGCATTTATGAATTCCAACTTGTAGAAATGGACAAGATATATTTTTAACAAATTTTTATGGTCTCTGGTGAGTTAACTTTTAGCAGTGATATCTTTTTTTTTATCTCTAATCATATTTCTTCTTTGTTTTAAATTTGATCATCTCATAGGAAAGCAATATCTATACTGGCCACTTTTAGTTTATCTTTCAGATTTTGGTTTATTCCATCTAATTACTTTACACATTTCTTGGTAATTGTACTTAACTTCATTTATAATTGACATAATCTTATTTCTCATCTACATACAACATAAAATTCTTTGTTTTTTAATTAAAATATTTAGTCCAATTACATTTAGTGAAAGTAATGTTTTATTTTAAATTTATTGTGTATTATTTTTTACTCCACATATTGTTGATTTTTCTCTTTTTTCCCTTTTTTTAGATTAAACAAATATTTTATGATGGGATTGCCCATTCTGTTAGCTTGTCAGTGATAGTTCTGTTTTCCAAGTAGTTATCCTTGAGGTTGCAGGTCACATTCCTCACTTGCTGAGTCTGCTTTGAATTACTTCTCTCCTAGGATCACAGCCCTCAGAGTACTTTAGAAGTGTTTGGTAGTATTTTACCACTTTTAGAAGAAGTATGGCTTTATACTTATCCAGTATTCACCCTTCCCACTGTTCTTCAGCATTTTCTGCACTTCTGTGCTTCTATTGTTTGTGAAGCTTGAAGAAATCCATTTATTGTCATGTTTTTAATGTAGGTCTGCTGACAAAGGATTCTTTCAACTTTTCTATAGGCAAAAATATCCTAATTTGAAATTCCTGTTCAAAGGAAATCTTTCTTTGGAAATTCTAAGCACTCATTTGTTTTTATTATCCTAAAGATGTCATTGCATTATATTTATACATCTGTGCTATTTGTAGATATCTTCATGTCTGCTGTGTACTTGCAGTTCTTTGAAGGCAATGCCTTTTTTTTCTGTTGCTTCAACATATTCTGTCATTTGTCTTAAACAGCCTTTCTATGATGTTTCTAGGCTTATTTTGTGAATGTTTAGGTCAATGTTTATAATTTCCTGAAACTTTGTATATTATGTTTACTTAGCTTCAGAAAAAGGATGTTTAGTTTGCTTTTATTTGCATCTGTTTTCTTGTGTCACACACACATATTCATTGGTGTACTTTGGTAAATATGTATTTATTATATATAATATATATTTATAATTTATATATAATATATAATTATTCATAATCTATTTTATAGTTTATTTACATATAAATATATATTTATTATATATACAACATTTTTTCTACTGTATCCTTTGCAAAGAGAATCATTAGTGTGAGGAGAATAGCCTGTACCTCACAGAGACAATTCCAAGGAGACAAATTTTTCTTCTGCCCTCTAAACTCTGTCCCTCCATTCTTCATCTTCTTTTTGCCAGTTTTGCCAACACATTCTCAGTTCCCTCCATCATCACAGGGCAAATTCAACACTCCCCATAATGTCCAAGAAGTAAAAAATAGTTCCACAGGCATACAGAAAAGAGCCACAATCAAATGACAAGACACCAGGTGCACTCCTGCATACTGTTTTTCTTTGTATGAACGTCCATATATTAAAGAAAACATGATAATTGTCTTTTTTGATATTTCACTAAGGTAATAGTCTCTAATTGCATCTATTTTGTTGCAGAAGAGTTGATTTTGTTATTTATATGGCTGAGTAGTAGTCTATCATGTACATATACTGCATTTTCTTTATCCATTCATCAGTTATGGGCATCTAAATTTAGTATCTTAGGTATTATGACCTGAGCTGCTAAAAGCACGAGGGCAATTCCATTGCTTTTAGATGAATTC